CACCTCCTGCCTCCTCCATCTCCCACCTGTGCCTTCACCTCCTGCCTTTTCCATCTCCCACCTGTGCCCTCACCTCCTGCCTCCTCCATCTCCCACCTGTGCCCTCACCTCCTGCCTCCTCCATCTCCCACCTGTGCCCTCACCTCCTGCCTCCTCCATCTCCCACCTGTGCCCTCACCTCTTGCCTCCTCCATCTCCCACCTGTGCCCTCACCTCCTGCCTCCTCCATCTCCCATCTGTGTTCTAACCTCCTGCCTCCTCCATCTCCCACCTGTGTCCTCACCTCCTGCCTCCTCCATCTCCCACCTGTGCCCTCACCTCCTGCCCTCTCTCCATCTTCAAAGCCAAAAATGCACCATCTTCAAATCTCTCCCTAACCTTTGCTTCCAACTATCACACTTCCTTTCCTGACACACTTCTTTGTTATAACACCGGGCTCACCTGGAGGACCCAGGACACTGTCCTCTGGTGAAATTTCTCAATTTAGTCACATTGCAGGTCACTTTGCCATGTGAGGTCAATATTCACAGGATCTGGGGAGTAGGGTGTGACCAGCTCTTTGGAGGGGCATTATTCTGCCTGCCACACCCTGTAACTGGGAATCCCATAAGTAAATTCTGAAACTCAGATATCTTAAATTTTCTATGTGTCCCCTAAATCCTTCAGTTTTGCTTTCCCATATATATTCTTTAATCTCATATACATCTCTGGTACTTTGACACTTCCACCACCAACACTCTCACCCACGCATCCCCGCGTCTCACCCACCAGCTCCTCTCTTATTCTGCCCTGGGAGGACTAAGGATATTCATGAACAAAAAGCACTTACTGCTGGCCAGACACTGTACCGAATGCTTTAATGGAATCATCTCATGGACTCCTCCCAGCAGCCCTGTGAGCTGTGGCCTTGGGTGAATTAAATTAGTAGTTTGTGCCTCAGATGCCTCATAGTCAACAGGGTGGTGCGGGTTCCTCCCTCTGGGCTGCTCTGAGGACGGAGGGACGTGAGTGAGGCAGTGAGAATGGTGCCAAGCACAGGGAACGCGCTGTTGTCATTACCACCTCCGGGTGCCCCACTCCCCACCCACCACTGCACATGCTGCTCTCCTGCCTTAACTACCCATCGCATTGATTGTGTCTCTTGGGGGCTGCCAGCTGCGTCTCTCAGTTCTCACTCAATGCCTCCCCTCCTCTGTGTCCCTGTGGCCTCTTATTTATATTTCGGGTTGCTGCCAGAGTTGGGGTCACATGTCTGTCCCTGAGAAGCTCTTGGAAAGAAGGGATCAAACTGAGTTCTCTTCCTCATCTTGCATCTCCCACACCGACGCCTGGCACTTGGTGCATAGTAGGTGCTCAGTACGTGTCTGTTGGGTGAATTATTGAGCCTCATTTCACAAGTCTAGACTCTTATCCATCCTGGCCATTTGCCTTTGGATTGGTGAGGTGTGCCATCATTCTTCTAAAAAGCAGAGCTTAGAGCTGAACAGCTGGGAGGTGGCTTGACCTCCACTGAGGAAACTGGGAGGCTGAGCTCCGACCTGGTCTATGTGGTGCCATGATTGTGCTGCACCCGGTCACTCTGTAGATCTCTCAGCGACCACGTGCTGAGCACAGTTGTCTTGAATCAGTTCTCTCGACTCCCGCCTGCAATCTATGTTTTGGTCTGTTGCCTGGCTGAGTGGTGATGTGCCCTCCTGCTGGCAGCCCTGGCGTTTTGATTACAGTCAGACTAGGCTTCCAGGGCCAGTCCCAGGCTGTTTTCTTCCTTCTGCACCTTAAAGAGGGCCTCGCCCTTCACTTGACACCAGTCCCACTAACCCAGTGCTGCTCTGGTTCCCAGTCACTCGCTTCATGTGCTAGAGATGGGTCCAGAGGAAGAGAATCCTAGCATTTTCCCACAGCTCAGAGCTGCCCGCCCTGTGTCCTTGCGTGGACTCCTGCTCCTCACACTCCCAGCCCGGGCGGCAGTTCTTTGGAGCCATTCTGGCTCCCTGTGCCCACGGGAATTCCAGACCTGCCCAGCGAGCCCGAATCTCAGAGGAGCCAGACCTGCTGGGGTTTCCCTGCCCTAGTTTCACTCTCCAGTTCCTGCCCACATACTGCTCCACCCCTTCTCCACCGCCGCCCTGCCCTGCCCCTGTGAGGGCCATGCTGCGGGAGCCTCCACAGCATTGGGCACCTGGAGGCCCGGCAAGGCTGCCCTGACTTAGGTGTAAATGCCCCCAAACACCAGATGGGCACCAGGGTCCAGCCTGGCGAGGCAGGCAGTGCTGTCACAGGAGCAGCAAGGACTTGACCCTGTAGCCGGTCAGCCTGTGACAGTGGCTCCCAGGGCTCTGCAGTGACTGGCGGCTTCAGGTTGTCCCAGGCGTGCTTAGCAGGCTGCTGGTGTCCTTCCTGAGAATAGCTAGACGGGAGCACCGGGGGGGGGGAGGGGGGGGGGGGGGGGGCCCCAAAGCCCCTGGGGGGAAAAAGAGAAGTTCCCCCGGGGGAAACCCCCCAAAAAGGGTTTGCCCCTTGGGAAAAAAGGGAAAAAGGCTAGAGAATCCCCCCCCCCCCCC